TGGCATACTAATCCCATGTGCTGAACTACAAAATGTAGTTCTTTAAAATCTCCAGTTTTCTGCGTCTACCAAATGTGGTTCAGGCTATCTGGAAGTATTTACTAAAGGTATTAAAACAACTTACTTTTGTGCATATTAAAAATAACTAAACAAAGTTTTTATTTCTGTTTTAAAAGCTTGGGTATATTTATGTCAGTTAGTTGCCAGTTATTAAAAGCTAACAATCCCTAACAGGCTCATAACAAAGGATAAAGCAGTGGTCCGTCTTTATTTACTGGAGCAGCAAATGTTAATAGACTAGTAGATAAGAATGTGACAGGGCAGGATGCACCTGTGGAATGCTCCTTTTGCTCTATATGGGACTGACTTTGGGTCACTTTTTTGTCTTGGATGTTCAAGTGTAGGATGTATTGTTGGCTGAGTCCAGGGTTTATCGACATGAATAGCAGTTCATATCGTTGTGACCCATCTGTGAGGTTGATTATTTCATTAATAGCACCTTTTGTAGATGTGGTCATCTAATAGTTTGAGGGTGTGCAGGCCTAGAGGAATGGGTGATCATCAGGTAGTTGAGAAGGAACAGGCAATCCAAGAGTGCATCTTGCTCTCCAAGTATTCAATTTGAATATAGTGAGAGTGATAGTTCATCAGGAGAATGCAACCAGTGACAAGACCAAGACCTCTCAAGGTTCAACTGTATATGGGAGTGAGGGAAAAGTTTTTTGTTTTGACAAGAAATTCAATAAGAAAACAGGCCAGAGACATGAATTCAAAGTGGTATGTTGCCTCCCTTGTGCCAGCATCATGATATCACTAAACTGCACAGCTTTCCACGTGGAAAGACGAGCATCCAGTGGTCGTTGGCCGTCATTGCCGTCCTACTTTTGAAGGACTCTTCTTCCATTATTAAGTGTTGCAGACATGTAGTAACATGACCTTCTGTATAACAACAGCTTGCTATGTGCTGTATTAATTATTTAGGTGGATCCACATTTTGTGCCATTGCCTCACTCTGTCTAATGGGAAAACTGAAAGAGGTCTTTTCTGAGAAGGAACTAAATAGAATAAGACGATGGTGTATAATGAGGCAGCAAAATGGTTTCCATGGCCGACCCAATAAACCTGTAGATACCTGCTACTCATTTTGGGTTGGCGCAACCCTAAAGGTAATTAAAAATTTAGAATTTTGCTTATGTTGAAATGTTTCTAAGGTCATCTGCTTTTGTTCGTGTTGTATTTATCAATACTGAGCTTTCACACTCTCTAGTTTGAAGAAACCAGCTGGGATCCGGGATAGAGTGAGTAGATCAGAAATCTTTAGCTGCAGTATGTGTAGGAGCCTAGTTCTGTGGGAATTCTGCCCTGATTCATTCTTGCAGCCTCTTCCTGTGGGACCTGCCAATCAAAATCCTGCCAGCATGTCTGACGTCAGTGCGGTTAGGGGAAGCATGTAAGGGGTAAGCAGGGGTAACTACTCGGTCTCTCCACGGAAAGTTCACCTGGAGTTGAAAACTGTCCTTTTTAAGGATCGAAGAAAAAGGCTTGTACGTCACTGGTGCCATGAAATCTATCCTGGAAGAGTTCAAGCTCAACTCTAGGACTTGAATGCATTATCTAGGCTGACGTTTCAATGTGCTGTTGAGGAATGTGCTGTTTAGTCGTTAGAGGTGATATCCTTCGTGAGATGTCAACAGTTCAGGGACTACTTGGAAAAGATTGTGAAACACTTGAGTATCTTTGCTAAAATGTTATCAAAAAAGTCACATTAATTGCTTGCCATGAGCAAAGTAATTGATGTATTCACTGATGGTCATTAGTTCAGTTGGCTGGATGGCTGGTTTGTGACCAAGTGGTGGCAACAGCATGAATTCAATTTCTGCACTGGCTGAGGTTACAATCAAGACCTCCTTCTCAACCTCTCCCCTTTCCTGAGGCATGTTAACCCTCAGGTTAGTCACCACCAGTCATCTATCTCTAATGAGAGCAGCCCTATGGCAGGACTGTGGCACCTTAACCTTGTACAGATTGCCCTTCTAAGAAAGTAATTGCAATGTTTTTCACCTTTTTGGTCATGGGAAAAACTGCTGTATAAATGAACTTTTTCAAAGTCTGTGACAACTATTGTGTGTTTCTATAATTTGCAATGTAACAAGAATATTAGCAATAAATAAGGAACAAAAACACAAGTTGTTGGAAAAGTTCAGCAGGCTTAGCAGCATCTGTGAAGAAAAATCAGAGTTAACATTTCGAGCCTGGTGACCCTTCCTCAGAACGGATTTTTCTTCACAGATGCTGCCAGGCCTGCTGAGATTTTCCAGCAACTTCTGTTTTTGTTCTTATTTACAGCATCTGAGTTCTTTTGGTTTTTATTTAGGTTTTATTAACCCTTAAGCAAAATGTTTAATAGTTCATGGGAAAATAGAGAAAACAACAAATCTGCATTTTTTTTGAATATCTTCCAGCTTTTGCAGATTTTCCAGTATACTAATTTTGAGAAAAACAGGAATTACATTTTGTCAACCCAAGATCATATTGTTGGAGGATTTGCAAAGTGGCCAGATAGTCACCCAGGTAAAAGTTGGATTTTTTTTTGTGATTTCTTAAAACTGAAAGTGCATGGATATGGATAGCAGAAGTTTTTTTTTTTACTTTTTTTTGTTTTGATTTGAAATATAATTTTCAAACTGGTTACTATCTTAAAGGTGCAAGGAGCAAAAAATTCACTTTGGAAACGATGAATGTGCCTTGATGGTTATGTATTCCTTGACATCCTATTTCTCAGTGATTACCATTTTCTTCTCTGACATTATTGCACAGCTGAATCGCATTTAAGTTGTGAAATTCAGGCAGCTAGGGATTGGCATCATGTGCAGAATTTCTGTCAACTCCACATATTAGTTCACTTTGAGTAAGCAGACATTTGAGCATAATGAGTTTAGTGTGCACGGCTATTTGATTTCTTCCTATGTCGGAGATATTCTTTTAGAATTGGCAATAAACTGAAAAGGAAGATGCAGGAATTAGGACAGCTCTCCCAACACAAGAAAGAGGATTAAGGTTAAAGTTTGGTGTGGAACCTTTCAGTACAGCTCGTTCTGTTTGAATTATACGTAGTGACTGACGTGCTCTTATCTCAGATTTGCAGTGATTGCACATTTCCCAACATGTCAGAATGTGCCTAATTTATGCACCCAATGTCCTGTGCTTAACCTTCTTATGCATTTAAGTAATTTTCTGATGAGCCTTATAACCCTTTTCTCCCTTGTTCTGTCATTTAATAAAAATATGGTTAGGGACATCTCAATACTGGTAACCACCATGCCAGTGTGTACAGCTTTATTGTCAGTCAAATGTGAACAAATAGCACGGAAGCTGTTAAATTGCATTGTACTATACTATGAGGATAACATTTTGGATCCCCCAACACTTATCTGGTTTCTTCCTACATGTTTACACCCTCATCTAAATATTTTGAAATTTTAATGAAATAGAAAATGAAGTTTGCTTGATGACCTAGCAACAGTGTGCAGTATAAAATGTAAGATTTCCTTGTCCCTCCTTGGATCTGTGCTGTTAACTTGTCTTAGCATAGTTATCACAATTGTCTCCAGTTATGAATAATCATGCTAGAACTGAAATGTTAACTTCATTTCTGTCTCCATAGATGCTGCCAGACCTGAGTTTTTCCAGCATTCTGTTTGGCTCCAACTAGCTTCAGATCTTCAGTTCAATTTAGAGAAGACTAGTTGGATTCCATGTTACTGTATTTTTAGTCCGTATCTTTAGGAAAGAAAGATAAAATTAGGAGTTTATTATCTAGCTGAGACAATCAAATGTGATGACTCGAATTATTACATTTTAGAATATTGGATCCAGTTTTCAAGTCTTATTTTCTTCAAACGCACTTCTTATTCTCACCTTTTGTCTATTTCAGATGCTTTGCATGCATACTTTGGAGTCTGTGGTCTTTCTTTAATTGGAGAATCTGGTGTTTGCAAAGTGCATCCTGCACTGAATATGAGCATAAGGGCTTTTCAACATCTTCAGCACCTGCATCAGACAGCGGAGACTCAGGGACAGGACCAGCAATCAGAATCAATGCCTGACTACACATGACAAAAGTGGTTGCAGAATTAAAACTGAAACTAGGTCAAATATTCTCGCCCAAGGAACAAGCCATGTCATTAGGAAGAGGTCTTGCTTGAATGCTGAGACTCCATATTAAAAAGACAGCTGTAAAGAATGTTTGTTTTAAAAATTATCATTGGTCAGTTAATGGACCAATTGCTGTTTGCTCTGAATTCTGATAATGCATTGAATGTGTGCTTTGAGTGGATGGAAGTTTGTCTATATTCTGTAGGAAATCATTTATACTAATTTTCTAAACCGTTTTGAGCATTTAATAAATAAAAACACCTCCACCTGTTGTCTGACTTTTTTTTTCCCCCTCACACAACACTCAATTTTCTGTTCTAAGGTTTAAATCACTAGGGGAACATTTCAGGTTTCATAAAATATTTTAAAGTTCTAAACCTGCTTTTATAGAATTAAAACCCATTTGGTTGAATTTGTGCTTTACTTCAGTAAATTTGCATCAAATGCTTTGAAGGAATTTTACTGTGCATCAATTTGTCATTTTGATTTGAGGCAAGTGATTCACTTACTAAGTTACAAGTGACACATGTAAATACAGTTTCTCTCTCAACTGGCATTTTACCCCCCACATTAATGTCCAGATGTAACCTGTCACACTTCCAGCAAAGTTATGTTGGCAGAATAGAATCGGCTGTGAGGAGATTTCCATTTTTATATCCCTTTTACTTGTGGTTTGTGTGCAGAGACTGGTTCAGTAACTAAAGTGGATACTTTTAACTTAATCGACAATTTAAAAAAAAGTTGATTTGCAATACAGAGGATCTGCTTCAAGTGTTTTATAATTTAAATGCGTATGCTTTTAGAAGTTTTAGTTCTGAACTGCAGATTTTTGGCATGGGTGAGAAAGGAGAATAGCTATATTTTGAGCATTCCACATAAAAACTTCATTTTTATGACATTTAATCTTAAAACGACACATTCCGCTGAAGCTGTGTCCTGCATTCATTGGGGCCATTAGACCGTAGGACGTAGGAGGAGATGTAGGTCATTTCGCCATTGGGTTTACTCTGCTATTTAGTGAGATTGGGGCTGATCTGGTAATTCTGCCATTTCCCCATAACCCTTGATTCCTCTCCTGATTAAAAATCTGCACAAATACTATCAGAAAGGAGAACAATTTTTTAACTGTATGAGAACAGAGCTTGGTAAAGAATGATTTTTTTGGTGTTTGTGCCTTTGTAACATAGTCGTTGATGAGTTTGTTTTCTTTTTCAAGAAGGTTGTGAACAGTTCTGAGCATACACTCTATTGTCTTTGAATTTGAGAAGTTTTAAAAGAAACTAATGTAGTCAAAACAGAACTAAATATCATCAACTTATGATGGTACAAGCACAATGAGACTTGTGGCATAACAAAAAATAGATTCAAGGTTGACACCTTTACGTCAAGTGAGAAGGGGATGTCAACTTGTTCTGAGGGACTTGAAGGGTAGTTCCCTTTTAGATTCTAGTACTTTCGGGTAGTTGACTTTTCAATGTGCCTGTATTGAGAGATTTCTTTCGTGCTTCTCAGCCGGAAAATCTATGGTTTCAGATGACTTTGTGTTGTCTACAGGCCTCCTCATACTTAGTCCTCCAATACGAATATTTAACCAGCAACTTTAAATTACTTTTGTTTACTCAAGTTTTCTCATTCTACCTTTTCCGAGTGCTGACTCATTTGTGATTATAGGAATCAGCAACTCTGTGGTTGTTGGCTTGTTTCTTCATTCAGGGGATGTGGTTGTCACTGGAAAGGTGAACATGTAATGCTCATCTTGCCCTTGAAGATAATGGTATACAGGTCCAGTGATAATTCTACTAGATATAACATAGTCATGGAAAAGGATGAGCTTTTTTAATTGGAGTAGGGCAAGTTTTAATGGTGTGAGCCCAGAACTTTCAGAAGTTGATTGGAGTAGACTGTTTGCAAGTAAAGGGATTTCTGATAAGTGGGAGGTTTTCAAAAGTGTGATGACGAGTGTTCAGAGTATGTTCCTGTCTAGAGTGAAAGAGAAGGCTGGTAGATTAGGAAATAATGGATAAATAAATTGAGCTGTAGTCATGAATTAAAAAGAAACACATTGGATATGGCCAACTAAGATCAAATGAATCTCTTGAGCAATATAAAGAATGCCGTGGCATTCATAAGAGGGAAATCAAGAAGGCAAAGGGGATATGAGATAGCTTTGGATTATCCGTAACCTTATCTGTCAAAGAGATTCTACAAATTACATCAAGAGCGAGAGAAAGTTGGGCCTTATTAAAGATCAAAGAGGTCATCTTTGTGTTGAAACTCTGGAGATGTGAGAGGTGGTAAATGAATATTTTGCATCCGTTTTTAACTGGAGAATGAAGTAGAGGCTAGAGAAATCAGGGAAATAATTACTGATGTTTTGAAAACAATTCGCGTTACAGAAGAGGAAGTACTAGAGGTCTCAGAAAATATAAAGATGGGCAAATCTCTGGGACCTGTTCTACTATATCCCAGGACGTTGTGGGAAGTTAGGGAGGAAATTGCACGGACCCTTGCAGAAATATTTGTCATCTATTCCTAGGGTGAGGTACTGAATTACTGGAGAGTGGCTAATATTGTGACTTTGTTTAAGGAGGGATGTAAGGAGAAGTATGGAAACTATAGACCAATGAGTCTGACGGTGGGTAAGTTGTTGGTGAAAGACAGGATTTATGTGCACTGGGGGAGTCGAGGAATGATTACAGATAGAGAGCGTGGTTTTGCGTGAGGGAAATTGTGTCACCACTTGATTGAGTTTTTTGAGTAAGTAACCAAAAAGATTGATAAGGACGGCGGTGGACATTGTTTATTTGGACTTTAGTAAAGCCTTTGACAAGGTTCCCTATGGTAGACCTAATTAGTAAAGTTAAATCACATGGGATTCAGGATGAGCTTGTCAATTGGTTACAAAATTGACTTAACAGCAGGCGACAGTGATGGTGAAGGGTTGTTTTTTGGTCTGGAAGCCTGTGTCCAGCAGTGTTCCACAGGGATCGGTGTTGGGTCCACTTCATTTATATAAATTATTTAGATGAAAATATAGAAGGCATGGTTAGTAAGTTTGCAAACGACACCAAAATTGGTGGTATAGTGGACAGTGAAGTAGGATATCTAAGGTTACAAAGAGATCGTGATCAATTGGGTCAATGGAATGAGAGTTAATTTGGATAAATGCAAGGTATTGCATTTTGGTAAAACAAACAAGGACAGGACTTTTACAATTAAAAGTAAGGCTTGTGTAGGACTGTAGAACGGAGAGACTAAGGGGTTCATGTACATAACTCTGAAGTTTGTGTCATGTGGACAGGGTGGTTAAAAAAAATCATTTAGCGCACTTGCCTTCGTTGTTCAGACCGTTAAGTGTAGGAGTTGGAATGTCATATTGAGGTTGTACAGGATGTTGGTCTTCTGGAGCGCTGTGCCCAGTCCTGGTTGCCTTTATTATAGGAAGGATGTTGTTAAGCTGGAGTATGTTCACAAAAGATTTACTAGGATGTTGCTGGGAATGGAAGGTTTGAGTTATAGGGGGAGGCTGGGACATTTTTTCTTCCCTGGAGTATACGAGGTTGAGGGGTGACCTCCTAGAGACTTATAAGATCATCAGAGGGGTATAGATAGGGTGAGTTGCAAGTGTCTTTTCCCTAGGGTGGGGGATTCCAAGACTGGGTGGCATATTTTTAAGGTGAGAGAGGCAAGATTTAAAGGCTTGAAAGGCAACTGTTTTTTCCACAATAGTTTATATGTGGAGTGAACTTCTAGAGGAAGTGGTAGGTTCAGGGAGAGTTACTACATTTACAAGATATTTGGCTAAGTACATAAATTTAAAAATGTGTGGAGGGATAGGGGCCAAGCGCAGGCAGGTGGGGCCAGTTTAATTTAAGATTATGGTTGACATGGACTGGTTGGACCAAAGGGTTTGTATCATTGCTGTATGAAGAAGATTCTGTTGGTGGGAAGGGAATACTCACTTGTTATAGGGTCAGAAATTGTACAATACAGAAGGAGGTTCTTGAAGTCATGAAGTCTATGCTGTTCTTTTGGGTGCCAGTCCAGTTCCTTTCTCACTTCCTGCTTTAAGTATTTATCCAGAACCTTTTGAAGGTTGCTGTTAATCTATGTACGCTGTTCTATTCAACAGTGCACTCCAAACCCTAAGTCTGCAGCTTAATTTTCCTTTTAATGGCTCTAGTTCCTAAATCGTAACCAGAAAACACCGATTTAAGGTGATCAACACCTCAGCCATTGAAAAAACACTTGTTTTAGTGTATATTATTCAGACCCTTTATGCTTTTGAGTACCTTTATCAAGCATCCTCTTAGTCTTTTCTACTCAAAGGAGAACAAGCCCACATTCTCCAGTCTATCTATTAACTTTGATCACTCATCACTGGAACCATTCTAATAAAATTCTTCTGCATCCTTCCCAAAATGTTCCATCTTCAAAGTATGGTTTCACACTTTGGACACAGTACCCCACCTTCAACTGAACTAATGTTATAAAAGTTTAGTAAAGCCACTGTCTTTGTACTCCATGGGGCAAATTTTAGAGGGATATATGCTACCTCCTCAGAAGCTGGAATTCTGACCCTGAAGCTGCCATACAATCAGGTTGCTAACTCTGGTCCCAGCTGTGCCATAAGTAAGCACCGACTGGCTGCTGAGGCAAGCAGCCGTCCTGTGGGGGTTTTGGGGTGGGGAAGACGTGAAGAGGTTAGAATTCAAAATGGACACCCCAGCAAGAAAAGTGGATGGATAAGAAACAGATGGGACTACCTTTCCACAAGTGGAGGCAGGTGTACAGGGAAACTTCCGAAGGGGACATACTAGTTCCTGACCATCTCTTTAACCTGTGCAGTGAAATCTGCTGGACTGGTCTGCATTCCTTCTATCTTCTACAGTTGCATGTAGTGGGGAAAAGAGGTCCTTAAGTATCCATTATATGGTTGATACCTTACCTCCACCCCTCTTTGTAATGTGGGAGACATTGGAGTGGGTGTGCAAGAAGGATGTGACTTCTTCACCCCTCTTTTTGTGTACCTAACCCCCACCTTCAAGTACTGGGGAGGGGGAGAAAGGGGGACCACATTAGTCACCCCATGGCTGTAAGCCTTTTTCCATTTGTACCATTTAGCTAGTATTGTCTCTTAACACAAACAGTTTGGCACTCTTGTTCAATCGCTCTATTAAAAGAAACCAGGACAAAATACACCTCTTAAAGCAACAGCATTGTCACAATAGTGACACCTTATTTTCATTAACAAATCCAATCATTG